ATGTGTATCATAACCTGATTTCTGGTTCAAAAGTTTCATCAATGACGGAAAATTTTGATTCTAGGTAACTAGGGTGAATAGAATCCCAAAACCAAGGCCAAAAGTAGAGAAGCCTGCTAAGAATGACACTAACACTGAGAAAGCAGAGAAAGATTCGAACTCTACTTCTGGCACCAGTGAGGAGAGCTCTACCAAGGAAAATCCAGAAACTTCTGATGGCTCAGCGACAGATAATGCCGACCCAGAGTCTAGATCTCATGATGAACTGTGATGTGGTATGCTACCCCAATGATAAAACCATACAATTCATGGTCACAAATTACTTCTCCTGCCGAAGGCTTTTCTTGTTGGAACAAAGTTCTTTCTCAAGGACACATTCCTTGTCAACGTATTTATCTGCTCAGAGACTAGTTGGCATAAAGATTTCCTCGAGTAAAGTATATGTTAGCTTGAGCCATAGGTTCCTGAGCCAGTTCGACCCCTTTTTAATTGGTCTGAGATACGAAATTTTGTTAGAAATAGCACTTACGGATTACTTGTACTAACACCCTATGTTGTGCTGTCTTGTTGGAACAAGTAGTAACATATTTACCATAATTATAGCAATCCTCTTCTTACAAAATCTATTACATGCACTGAAAAAATTATGCTGTCTTGCTTGTGTTTTCTTATTCTTCAACATTTATCTGTATACAGCTCACTGAACAAGCTGCTCCATCGTTTTCTGAAAGTATTATTTACAATCATTGATCTTCGCTTGGTTCAATTGGACCAGAAGTGTAGCTTGATTATGTGTTGGCAATTCAATACACGACAATAATGCGCAGCTCTTTTCTTATAACCTTCCCACAATTTGTTTCAATTTTGTGTACCACACTACCACAAATCCACAATGAGTCTGTGTTTAGTTAAGCTTCCTTATGTACAACCCCTAGCTCAACATGAAATTGTAATTAATGAATGTGTTATGCCAGTATGATGTAGGGTAATAATGAAGCTAGCTAGCTTAGCTGTGTTGTGTATGCAATGTTTGTAATTGTCCTGTAAAACATATACTAGATGTACAATAGTCCTTTGCTGAAAAGTAGTGACGGACTAACTAGGTTAACTCAGCTCTTTTATCTGAACATTAGAGTACAGTACTCACATCATATCATATCATATATTGTCGATTCAAACAGTTACTCGATCGTACCACTTACCTGTATATGTATTTGTATGCCTGCTTTTCATGGCTTCGCTAGCTAGTTTGGTCCACCTTAATATTACCAGTATCTCTTAATTACCTGTACAATACTTATGCTTTTTATCCGATGATTATCCATAACAGTGCTATTACATAAAATGCCATAAGCTCTTTTCTACTTTTCTATTTTCTCCGGTTTCCACTTAGTACTTTTACACGATTCAAGTACTTTACTTTGATCATTTTTTGTAATCGTTCATGAAACAAGGATTAGTCTATTATTAAGCCTTCTAGCTAAGAGAATGAGAGAGGAAGATCGCATTGAGGAAGAGAGTCGTATTTTATACGGACCAGAGTAACATAAAAGGACCTTTACATTCCTAACATGTAAACATCATTGATCATACATATGTGAGAATTGCATTATCGACCTATCTTAGCTGCTTGGAAATTGACATACATAAATATGAATTGACATTATAAGTGTACTCCGTTACAAATTTCATGGCGCCACATAGGAAATGGGTGCGCTTCCAGCACCAATAAGCTAAGTAACAAGATGCATGTACGTTGTACGACATACAGATGCCCAAGCAAATTCAGCTAGGCATGAATAGTAAACTCTTGGTCTTTGAAAGTTGAACTATACCTATTTCCCTTCATTTTCATATAGAATGGAATGTGATCATCACTATCCTTTGTATCAAGGCGGCCGCTGCTATAAATTACTTTCTCCACAGCATCCTCCATATCCACCGTCATCAAGTTGTTCTTCTTGTCCTGGCGATATGCCATAAGAGCTTTTGCTAACAGCACTAACGAAGCCATTGATTGATATAGGCTGGGACTGGGAGTGCAAAAATTATATGTAAGCTTATAAGAAAAATTGTGTGCGTTATTATGTCATAGTATGACAACCCTTATATATATAGATACTTGTAATCCTAACCAATTTTGAATAAATGTCATAGTAAATCCAGCACAATTAGTTGATGAGCATATTTCTTGTCCAAATATTTGAGGAAATTAAAAGGAAATCTGTTTTTTGGTTAGAAACATGGCATTAACAATTCATTCGGACACTACTATAAGTTATTGAGTTTTTGTAAAAAAAAAAAAAAAATAACACAAAAAAAAAGGTTGGTTAGGAAGTAGGTAACAATCTAAGGCAGAATATATTAAAATAAGCAGACTTTTCATGCAATCCTTGCTCTTAAAGGATGTTTCGATCTAATTTGCATGATAGTCAATTGAGGCGTTGGACAACCACAGATTTAAGAGGCCAAGAGAATGAAAACATAAGCATGTTTAATACCTTGATATATTAATTAAGTAATGTCTTAAATGTGATGTTTTCCTCGGATAGATGACACACACATACGCGTACTGATAATTAATTGGTAAGTTGTGGGTCCATTCGGGCTGAGTCTTTGTCTCATAATAAAACCATTCTCATGATGCAAACCTCCTAACGCGATGTTACATTATTGTATTTTTTTTTTGGGTGCAACAATCGCTTGTAATAGTTGAAACTATTAAAAATGTCAACTTTCGAACAATTTGATATCAACCATAAAAGATAATCTTTATTTGGTATGTGCGGTGGTTTTTTTTTTTTTTAAAAAAAAAAAAAATTATATTTTGGTGGTAATGGTAATGGCTAATGAGTGTGAGAGAAAGAAGGGAGGTGGGGAGGGGCTGAAAAAGAGGGGTTGTACCAAGTAATTTATAGCAGTGCTTAGTAAGTTAGTAGTAGGCAATTGAAAAGGTTAGTTGGAGCAAAATTTTTCACTTTTTTTCATCATTTAGCCTTAAAATATGCGAGTATATATGTACATTTTTAGTACTCCAAACAGCTAATAACCAAGGCGATGACCAACTAATTTTACAAATCATCCATAATCTTTGTAAATCGACATCATGAAAATCTAACTCAAATTACTAATTCAATGACTAACGTACAATAACAATTAGTCGAACATATGGTGTCAAGTGATTAAAGATACTCATGATAAAAGCTGTACGTTAACAAGCACAAAAACAAATGCGGTGTAATTCTCTTAAAACGGGGAAAATGTGAATTATTGGTGGCATTTTAATTTCTCATACCTGCCTGATTAAATATTAATTCTATTATGAGGTTGTCTCTTGATTGCGACATTGAAGGAATTTAAGCTGGAATCACATCGTTCATACAGTATGATAATTACCTAAGACTCAGCATTTCATTTAGGATGGTATTCACCAAATTAATAAAGACTTTAAATTAGGAAAGTTATTGCAACATACTCCACTCCCTAGTAGTTAATTAACCTAACATTTTTATTTTTGTGACAAAGATCTTTTAAGTATGACAGTAAAGTAATCATGTCATTATTGGAAACAACTCAAATAAGCATGATTATCTAATTAGATTGATGAGGTTAATTAAAGTGCATGCCATCATTATCTCAATCATCTGGCCCATTAGCTAGCCCCCTCTTTTTTTTTTTTTTTTTTTTTTTTCCCGAGGAAATTAATTGGCTAGCTATTCATAGAAAGCTACTAATAATCCTCCTTTATTTTAATTAAATTAAAATTTTGATATAAGGTTTAATTGATTTGTTTATCTTCTATAATAAATAATTAATCAAGAATATGTAGTCATTTGTTGAAATAATGAGTACAGCTCGACAACAGCCAGCGATAACTTAAATTCATAAATTCAATCAAAAGTATTAACTCAAACTGACGAGTAGGAAGCTTTCGTGATAGAATATACTTATATACTTAGGATATATTAATAGTTTTTAGGAAACCAACCTGGACAAATATATATACTTCCTAATACATTACTTTGTCTATTAATATTTTTAATTATACTTTTGTAAAAATTATAAAAAGTTGATATTCGAAAAGTAGATTTTGAGACGAATCTAACTAGATCTATTCCACATGATTATGTTTTTCATTACGGATAAATCACAAAGATGGTCAAAAAAGATTATGTGAATAGTGAAAAAGTCTTGATGGTGCAATAAAAGAAAACGGAAGAAATACTTTTTTTCCCTCTCTTTTATGTGTTTATGAATTCGGAGTAACTCATAGTCTTGCCTTAAAATGGGGAATAACTAAGGTATTACTGTTTTAAAAATTGTAACTAATTAATTCTTTTGGGATATTGTTGTGCATTTAGGCGAATAATTGAACTTGTTCTTGATCACTCTTTTCACGCGTGAGATCGAACCTATATAGATTGTACATACTTCATGAAGACTTGCTGAATGTTTGACATGACATATGTACTTAACGTCTTAACCCTCAATGGATTGAAAATATAAAAGCTTTGAGATAGTATTGTACGTGTATATGCTCGGATAACAAAATGTGTTCATGATCACTCTTTTCATGAGATCGATCGTGGCTAGATAGGTTGTACATATTCATATGAAATTATTAAATGTTTGACATGACATATGTACTAATAAAATCCAAATAGATTGGGAGTCTAAGAACACACACAGAACTTTGTAGGCATCCAAATGAGTAAATGTTCATTGTGGGTATAATTAATCATTATTATTTTTGGATATTGTTAGTGCTATAGTTGTCTTTTGAGTTATGGCCTATTTTTATAACAATTAGATCAATTGAACCATGCCAATCTTTTCAATTTGTCAATGTCAAATAGGTCTATAAGTAGTATTTATTTTCTTATACATGAATGATTATGTCTACAATTAATTCAAGTAGATTGATTAATATCAAATACTTTTATGATAAACTTTTCAATTAGTTTAGTGATAGATTGAATGATTAATTGCAATTATCAACCATCGGGATTGTACCAATAATTATACGCATATAATATAAATACTCCCACAAGCAAAGCAAATCAAAACATGAAAAATTCAATGAAAGACTTTCTAATAGATATACTTTGCTTAATTAAGACATTGGCCTACATTACACTAAATAAAATAAAATAAAATAATGGAAGGTGTCATCCACGCAAATAATTTGCAATTCTTAAACTAAAAAATGAGATCACCCTCCATTAATTTCAGCTCCTAAAAATTAAAAAAAAAAAAAAGAAAAAACCATGATTATATACATCATTTTCTGCTTTTCCAAGTGTCTCTATCCAACTAGCTCGCTACTAGCCCACCACAAGCTAAGGTCATAATAATTATAATTATAATAATAATAATTATGATGATGGACGGATGAATGCCAGTACCAAAAATGGAAATTTCTTTTTTCCCTTCCTTTCCCATCTTGTAAGTTGTACGTCCAACTTTATAAACTACTCCTACTAAACTAGAAAATTGGATGGACAGACCATATAATATATTATATTTTTATATTTTATATTTAATCTAAAGTTTTTCATTAAAATCATTGATCATTGCGTCTCTTGAATTGGTTGAGGCGACAATCACTTAGTCTTGAAGCATGCATTGCTCTCTTATATTCTCCCCATGTAAAAGGCTTGTATAGGCTTGGATTCAATGGTGACACCATCTCTTTTATTGGCGAGATTGTTGCATTCAATGGTGGTGCTCCGAAATAGATCATCGACATTCTTGCCTTGCTTATCGAACTATTCGCCATTGCTCTATGTTTCACACTTCCAAATCTCCCATTCGTCAATACCTACACACATGTAAACATTTCATAACGTTTAGACTAAAATTGATCATATTTGTTACCCACAATGGTAAATTATTAGTACTCGCATAAATTAGGCAAATAACAATAAACATCTGAAATGGATGTGACAACACCCTCGTATAATCAATGACTTATTCAAACGATACAATGTACAATCTATAAGTGACGCAATCAAACACGAATTAAGATAATAGTGGTGTAGTTAAAAAAAAAGAAAAGAAAAGAAGGTACCTGAAGGGCATCCCCCACCATAACATAGAAGGCATTGGGATCAGGTTGAACAGGAAGCCACAAACCATCAGGGGTACAAATCTGAAGGCCAGCAATGTCGTTGGATCTCAAGATGGTTAAGATCTGAGGGTCAGAATGCTCTCCAAATCCAATGCGTTCACCATTGATAAAAGAGTCCCAATTTTTAAGGGCAGGGTAGTGATTGAGTCTTAGGAGTGAATCACTTTGAGAGTCTCTGATTAATCTGCTAAATATAGATTTGTCTTGGACCCACAGTCCCTCAGCCATCAGATCTAGTAACGAGCATGATAAATCTGATACCGCCTCCACGTAATCATTTACCGCGTCACTACACAATCCAATATGCAGTACATTAATTAGAGTCGAACTTTAGTTGATATTATAGACAATAATAATATAGCCGATTAGTATTTCGCCCACTATTAGTTACATACACGTACGAGTACTAGTTAGGCAGGGTCGTTGCAAAATGCCTGGTTACAGGGGTTGAAAACAAGTACTGTAGTAAAAGGTAGAGATAATAATATGAGTGTAAAGCACATGTGAAAATTGGGTGGGTAACAGAGGTAGGAGTGGATTCTTCAATTGGAAAGATGTAAATGGAGTACCTTCCACCCTCAATATAGAAAATGACACTGATGCTGACACTCTGTATTGTTTACTCACTTTTTTATATGTACAAAATAGATTAAATTGCTGAATTGATACTGATTTGATTTGATTAATGAGAAGTCATTGATATGAGTCTGAACCCCTGTTTTCAGCAATGCTACTATTTACTTTACAAATTCTACTGCTACAAGTTTTCTTCTAGACCTATGCCCATTGGACGCGCCTCTTACACTTGGACCTCTTACCGTACCACAAACTTCATCTTTTCCAACTGACATTTCATTATCTTCTAGATCAATTACCCTTTCAAGAGTCTAACCCGTAAACAACGATTTAAAAAATTCTTTGATTAGGATTGAAGTTTTATTAGTGTTCTTTTCCTCATCTTTTGAATTCAAGTAATATTTGGTAAAATTACAGAGTAAAAATAGTAAGAGTATTTATAAATTTTATCCACACTTCTAGAATTAGATGATTTTACCCATTTCTAAAACATCGACCTTCATTAATTAGACAAGTCAAAAAAATAAATAAAAAACATTCCACGTAAAACAATTTGGATATTAAGGATAGGAGTGGGAAGATAGATGAGATATTATTTATAATTTTGGTATGTAAAAAGGTAGACTGTAGAATACGTATGTTCTAAATTTAGCATTTGAATGAAAGATGCAAGAATATTCTTGGACGAATTGGAGACATGCAAAAATAAAAATGTAGGCTCATAACTAATGATTAATGATTATGATCACAACCCAAGTTCACCAAACAAATATTGTGAATAAAAGAAGCAACGTGGAGAAGGTAGCTATCATATAATGATACGTTGCACAATAATGGAATTTTATGTGTAAACGTTTCCCTTGTTCAACCACATAGACCCCTTTCTCTTTGGTCCATTTTATTTGCTAACTTATTAATACTATATGTTGCATTCTATGGTTTTGATGCATGCCAACTGATTTTTCTTTTTATTATTTGGCAGCATATGCCAACTGATGATTATATTTATTTTTAGAGCTACATCCACATCCATCAAGTTGCGACTATTATTTCATTCATCAAGCTAGCTAGGATGATACGTACGGGCTATTAGTCCTACGACCATGACAAATCATTAAAATATATACGTGTACTACATAGTAGGTCACATAATCAAAACCTTTGACTGATTAAAAAAATTAATTATTACATTATTCATTCAAATTAAACTACAAATATTGTGATATTTATTGCGGACTATATACATAGTTCGATACTCACTTTAAAATACACAATGTATATTGTTTTTTTTTTTTTTTAATATGATAGCTAGAAATCTAATAGATGATATATTTCCAAGTGTATATCAGTATTGTTCAGGTTCTTTTGCGTGCATCTTAGTTGGTCAATTCAACTTACATACTCCGTAATGAAAGGGAGAAAGAAATTAAAAATGATTGGCTTTAAGAGGTTTAATAATAAATTCTAGAACAAAAGTCAATGTCAATAAAAAAAAAAAGTAATACAAATAATAATAAACAATTAAATCTCATGTTGTACTATAAAACTAAACTTAATTATTCCAGGCAACAACAAGTACTTGTACACTCGTACTCCTATAGTCTGTCCTTATACTATACGGGGTACCCCAAAAAAAAAAAAAAAAAAAAAAAAAAAAATCCTCTGTTTAAGCTAGGCTAAGCTAAACTAGGCTAGGAAGAAGAAATGAAGTTGTAACATTGTATCATACTCTTAATAAGTCATGTCAACTGTGCTATTTTTTATTTTGTTACAAAAATAATATGGGTGGACGATTAGACAACATTTTCTGGCCGACAATGTGTAAAAATACAAGTCCGGACATAATTTTACTTTGAAATTCCTCAACAAAAATACTATGAATCCATGCATATTATACCGGGAAAAAAAAAAAATTCAAAAGTACGTATACGAATAAGTACTACCTCCGTTTAAATTTAGTTAAGATATATGTTTGGCACGATAATAAAACAGTAAAAATAAATAAGTATAGAAAAGTTACCTGAAAAGAGGTGGATGAGTGGAAGAGATGTTAGCGTGAAGGAGAAGGTACTCAAGGTCCCCAACGTCACCATTGGAGCCAATGTTACGGAAGCCATAGCCAAAGGGTTTAGGGACGGTGGGACCCACAGCACGGTGTTTCTCCGGTGTGGGCTTAGCGAAGAAGTCGAGACCTTGTCTTTCGAGGGAGGAAATGACATCGGAGGAAACACCGTGATTAATGACCTTAAAAATGCCGAAATCTTCGCAGGCCTCAACAATGAGGTCTATTAAGGTGGACCTATCTTTGTGTATAAGAGAAAGATCAATGGTTGGCACTCCAACTGCCTTGGTTTTCTTGCTCCTCTTTAGAGGGTTTGTAGAAGCTACAACCATGATGATCAATGAAAATGAATAATACTCGTACAATATATGGTTTGATATATAATATAAAACTTGATATTTTGAAAGATGGATGGAGTAGTATTTTAGAGTTTGACAATTTGGAGAAAATAAATGTGGGTTTAGGAGGGAGGGGTTGGGGGTATATATAAGGGCCGGGTGGTCAAATACTCGAATGTTAATTTGTAATTTAATTTTTTTAATGAAAATAAAATAAAAGAATATATTAAAAATAAATAAAAAGGCATGAAGGAGGCGAGATAGATTGGAAGGGGGGTGCCGTGTGATGGATAATGGGGCCGTGGGGTTATGTTGATTGTTTTTTTAAACCTATGATATAGAAAATTTGTCCCCACCCGACCCCTTTAGTTTATTTATTTACGAGTATTTATTTGCTGTATTTTCTTTATTAGGACATTCAAATTCATGACCCATTGCCATAGCCTATTTTCAGTTTTTCGTACAAGTAATGGATAGGATCAAATAATAAGGAATGTAATTAAGGATGTGTTTTATTCACCTGATCTGAACTTATCTGATCTTATCTGAACTTATTAGATCTTATTAAATTTATTTTAGTTGTAATTTGAACTTGGACAACCCTTATCAGAACTTATTTTTCCTGAATTGATCTTATCTGAACTTCTTAGACCTGAAATAAGTGAAAGTCCCTAATAATAGTTACTATGTATCACCCCGTGTTAGCACTTCACTTGGTATAATTTCATTGATACATGTAATACGAAGTAATGTTCAACTTTGTTTGTTACTAACTAGATTCTACGTAATAATCAATAAAATTCATAGCGAGTAGGAGCGATTAGTTAAAAAAAAAAAAAAATAACAAGGTATGTATTATGATTAAGTAGAATATAAAAGAAGTTCAAAAAAAAAAAAAAAAAAAAAGAATATAAAAGAATAGAGCATATTGTAATTGTGAATCTGTGATTATAATAAGAAAAACATTGTAGTACTAGCTGTAAAAAGGATTTTTGAGAAGAATTTTTTTTTTTTTTTTTGGTCAAATAGAGTTTAACCTAAAAGATCGACATGAATGCATCAACGTACAATTGTGCAAATACTATTCCATTTTACTCTATAAAAATGAATTGAATCTCATCTTTAAGAGTCAATGCTGAAAACGATCGAACCTGTAACCTTAAAACATACTCAGATCAAAAGTGTACTAGCTATAACCGGTTAAAATAGATTATACATTAGTTGGAAAAAAACTAAAATAGATAGGCATGTGTGTGAATAGTCACTTAAAAAGAAAAAAAAAAAAAAAGCAAAATGATGGAAGAAATAGTCAATGTACTAGAAACTGTAATTAGGTGTGCGTTTGATTAGTTCCTAATTAATTAGGCTCCTATCTGCTTCCATAAATTGGCTGACCCAATTAAAGAAGCTAAGAGATTGATTGTATAATGTATGGCGTGGGTATGGACGGAGATGAGATGATATGAATAATCAATCAAAGGGAAAATAAGCAGCCACGTTATGTGTGGGGGACGGGGGGAGGTAAGGATGGCGTTTTTCAGGGATTTAAGTTGCCGCACCAGGGTCTTCTCTTTAGACATCCAACCTGCAACTAGCGGCACTTTGTCTCCCCTCTTTCTTTTTTTATATCTCTTATTCCCGTCTCTATTTATATAACTGTTATATATATATAATAGTTATAGAGTCACATGAAAATAACATTACATATCTATATTTCATATTATTTTGATCAATCTTTCTTACTTAGTTAATCAATACTTGTTCGAGTAGTATAAATTTATTTTTAATTACTGTTAGCAATATGTATAATAGTTATATAGATAGATAAGTGAAAATTTAGATTTAAAAAGTAGACTTTTTTTCCTACCATGAATTGTCAATGCATGTCTAAGACTGTAAGTACGTGTGGGCCTTACGTAAGCCGTGGACATTAGACCTCGACTCGGCTTGAGAAAGAGAGGGGGAGTGAGAGAGACATTTGTGTTTGACTTTGTCTAAGCTAATTTGACTACTACCTACACAAGTAATGTTATTATTAGTGTGCCTTAATTCTTAATCTATGTTGGTGACCAATAAGTCCCTTACAACTTCAAAATCATTACTTTAAGCTGTCTCATTAATTACCTGCCTTGCACCTACCTAGGCTTTGTGTAATTCTCTAATCCTTCACTTATTCATTCATGCATGACGTAATATATATATATCAAATCAAAAGCTTGTGAACTACTACAAACTGAATACTATAATAAATAACACGAGTAATTATATTTTCTACTTTTAGCCTCTTATTCCATATATCGGTACCTTTATAAATATGTTTAACAAATTTTTTATTATTCGTTTTTTAAAAACAATGTTAGCTTAACTATACACACAAAAAATTATTGTACTTTACACTTGTAAAATGTACGATTATTTTTTAATAATGTAACTTAACGTATTACATCCTTTATTTTTATTTTTTTTTTTGGTTAGTGTACCTTGTTTATACATGGAGCATTTGATCTCATATCACGAATTTTTTATTTTTCACTCCAATCCTCCTCACTAAAGAGTGTCAAGCTTAATTAAGGAAGAAGATTTATCATAATATATTACTATGATGACATTGTCAACAAATGTCATCAAATTAAAGATAAGTATTGTACTTTAATTATTTTTGTACTGGATATTAATCATGAAAAGGCTTTACTTATGAATAGGTTAATTAGAATGATTCCTCATGTGTATGTGTAGTCGAATTTCCGAACAAACAGAAGAATATAACTTTCCAATGGCCATCAAAAATTGAAATCTTAGCTAAAAAGTTGACATGATTGGTTTCTCCCTTAATACGAGGGGCTTGAATCGCTTTCATTGATCAAACATAAGTATTAAGTTTCATGTCGGAAGGCCGGTTAATTAGAAACATGATTAACAAATAATTATACGACATTAATTAATTAAGTACTATTAATTATATGTAATTGCAGGGCAAGGTATCTCAATTAAACTATTTAGAAGGATGTGACTTTATGTACTTCAATTCCCTTACTAGCCACATGGCATAACCTTCAACCCATACCCCATGCGAGGTTGATGTCGTAGAAAATCTTATATTCTTGATTATACAATGATGATCATACTATTAATTAATTAATTTAATCCTATACAAGTACAATTATAACCTCCGGTGTTCAGTATGGTGATGTGTATTTTGAAGTGCGGATTCATATTTTTATTTAGTCGTGATTTAATTAGCTTAACCACCCAATTAAGCATAGCCAATCACGTACATGATTGATGATAATTATAATTTATAATCATGTTTTTGCTGTTTTAAGTTGGGGCAAGTACTGATACATGCCTAATTAGTAATTAGTTACCGGTCTAAGATTAATTAATTGAAAAAGGCGATACAATTATTAATTAGCAGAAAGATGCCTCTAAAAGAATGATTAAAATAGTGAAAAGTACGGTCAAAATCCAGATGATTGAGTTGACTAATGAGGCGGTTTACGCATAATTAAATTTGTGTTTAGACTGCTTTAGAGAATAAAATAGTTGGGCAAGGAAGACAGTTTGGTGTACATTTACCAAACATGCACGTGCACTTAGCCTTTGACAGTAACTTTGAGGGTCAAAGGTTTGTGTAAGATGGTACAAGACCCGAAGAACCTACTACCAAGAACACAATACTAGAATTCATAGTCGGACTACTTTTTAGTCATAGCTTAGCTATATCTTAATTAGCTTGCACCTCACGGCTTTTCTTTAAAGAGAAGCTTATCGGCTTCACTGTTACATCAACTATTGTCGATTGATTAAACGTGTTTGGCTCAAGACCCTATGGAATAAACACTTTGTACTATGACTTTGTTATTATCTCAAACTTATGAGCTTCTATCCCGAGTACTAAATTGAATTATGAAATTTATCTTATCTTATCTTATTATCTATATCGTACTTTTTAAATTATTTCATTTGTACACATTGAGTTAGGGATTATGGTAGCTAAAACAAAAAATGAAAAATGTGCTGTGCAATGCACCAATGCATGTTGTAGAGACACAACATATTTATTGGTGGATATCAGGATATGTAATCCAACAAATAGCATTTGGACAGTCAATCTACAACGAATAATTGCACCAAACTATTTAGAGGTCAACAAATGAACTAGCAGTACTATAATCCTTAGCTTGACACATATAATTTGTCCCATATTTTCATCAACCTTTTTCTAATGGTTAGACTCCATCCCCTTGTTCATATAATTGTCACTCTTCTACATATATAATTGGAGTAATAAGGTCATATCATACAATATATTAAACTCATATCACGATGCTTTAGCTTTTATTACACTTGTCCATATCACATTCTCACAATACACATAGGCACATAGGCACATACCCTGTAGCTATTAGGAGTTGAAATACAAAATATAAAAAAATAAACACATAACAAATCAACAAGTGGATTGGAATGGAGTTAAGATCATTCATACACCAATATATACTCAAATTAATTTAGAGTAAGTTATTTCCTTTACTCCTTCCATTATTTGAAATTGATACTTATCATATTATAATTTAGTAGACGTGATAACCTTTTCAGATATTCTAAATATATTAATACAAAAAATAAATATGACGATATATACGTATAATAGCAAATGATCCTTCGATAATTTTAATACTCCATTGTCACACTATATACGAAGTATATTATATATGTAGCTCATTTTATCATTCAAGTTACTAGATACAGTACATTAATACAATTGCCCATTTGCATTAACATATTCAATTAATCAATGGTGCTACATAGTAATTATTAACCCCACCAGATCAAACCATCAACTATAACCTCTGGCTTTTAAAACTTTATTAGTAATGTAATTCCATTAATAATATCATATACTTCATATATACGCTTTGTAAACCTGTCACATCATAAACTAATAGTGCGACATATCAAATATAATAATAGTAATATGTAACGTTGAGACTACAATGATATGCAATTTCTGTTTAAAAACAGTGTTTGTGTCTCAATAATGTGGAAAAATGAAGGAGATAGGCGAAGATTGGACTGAAGCACGGGCGCCCAATAATTTGTTTTAAAAAAAAAGAGTTGAAGTTGGAAGGAATGATAAGAATATGATGAATAGACCAACAGAAGTTGGGTTTCTAGAAGAACCCACATCAGTACACACATGACACTATCTGAGGCTAATCTGATCTATTTACGACTACTGCTTTATTGACCATCCACCCAGTACCCATTCACTCCTGATTATGACTTCTCTTCCGCGCAGTGTGCGTGTTCTAGTTTGTAGGGGCCGGACTTGTTCTTCTAATAATACGTAAAAGTAAGAATTGAATTGAATCAGATTGAATTGAAGACGACGTTAGTTTATACCAATAATAATGTTACCGACGTATTAATATTATCATTATTATCTTTTTTATGTTCAAAACAC